GTCTACCGCAACACATGATAGATGTATTGAATTATAACATAATGCTAATATATAATTAAATATAAATAATATTGACATTGATATTTAAAATGAAGAATATACATTATAATTAAGTATTTGTAAATACCACAGTGGGCGCCTCTTTGGATGAGAGGTAAATGCCTATGTAAACAGAAGAACATGAGACTTATTGCCGAATGACCAGAGTACAGACGCAATGCACGAATAACGTCAATACGTTGTGTGTTGTAACAGACATACTTAATGCATGGATGCAAAATGGGTGCAAAAAAAAAAGAGCTATTCTGTGGAGTACTAAAAAGGAATTGTGGAGGACTCTCAGGGCAAGAATCTTACAGCTTTCATAAGAAAAAAAATAAGACAGCACCTGAAAATAAGCCCTAGTGTGCCTTTTGGAGCAAAAATTAATATAAGACCCGGTCTTATTTTTGGGGAAACACAGTAGAAAGGTAAATGGGGAGGAGGAGCAAAGGCACAGAAGGCTTTGAAGGTAGAGATGGGGATTCTTTAACATACACACACCAGTCACTGGACTGTAGAGCTTGGCTGGTGCAGAATCAGGGTTGGCCCATACAAACTTGTCAGGAGGCTCAGCTGTTGACATACTCTGCTACTTCATTCTACAAGGAAGATGAGTTTGCACATTTAAATGCTTTCCTCTAGGGGACAGGAGGTTTGGAGAGAGAATCCTGCACAAAGAAATGGGTGCTTCCAAATGAAGGGGGTGGGTTGTGCCATCACCCTGCCCCATTCATGGAGTTTTACAGGAGTGCGGCCATTTTCATCTTCCACTCCTAGCTTCTTCCACCTGTTTTTCTGACATGGAAAATTCATTAAGTAGCCCATCGGTTGCCTTGTTGGACATCATGACAACCCTGGGGACAGCTACCACAGCCTTCAGGAAAGCTATGGGCTTTTGGGTAAGCCACCCCCACAAAAGCCATGGCAGATTTTGTTGGGGAAGCCTTTCTCATGAAATGAGGAGGAGCCTGCAAGTAACTTCTGCACATGTGCAAACGGTCAGGAGGTTCTCTATATTTGATAAACTCTTTTATGATTGGACACAGAATGTTACACTGTGATTCGTAGTTGGGCGTCATAGGCTAGCACTGCCATAGGCCTTAAGGCCTATCATGATTTAAGGGAGACACTTTCTCCTTGTACCTCCTGCTCTATAGATTGTATCATATTTATCATTTCCTAATAAATTATTTGGTTTCAAAACAGTCTTTCTTCAGTTAGGCCTCCAAGTCCTCCTACCAGGAAAAGAGGCTCCTTCTCTCCAAGGACTGCCTTTTCCCCCTGGACATTTCACAGAAAACAGCAGTGAGTGCAACCAGATTTTGGAGGCAAGCTTCCCTGTGGTTTATGCCCCCTGCTTTACCTCTAGCCATGGCCCTTTAGCCCACTGAAAGAGCCAACAGACCTATGGACTGAAGTGGCACGGCCTCTTCTATTACACCCAACAGCAGCTGCTCAGAATACACAAACATACCCGCCCCGCACCTTTGGGATCACAAGCACAACCCACAGCCAAGGTAAATCTATACAGGCAACCAGCGCTGAACACAAACTGGGGTTTCCTCAGGACAGCTCCTGTCAATGCCTTTATTATGGAAGGAGGGCTGCATTCCTTGGTAACCTACAAGCAGGATTAGTTCACTAGATGATACCAATGCATGGTCAATTAACTCCTCACAATATAATCTACTCTATTCCTTCCCTTCAATCCAGCCCTGAGAAAGGGCAATTCAGCTCTTTCTGGCATGCTCATTGCTAGATTCTCCAGAAGTATGGAGATGGTCTTGGCATTCGACAAACTGTGCACACATGTAACTCAGGGATTCACTAAATAGAGCTACAGTGAAAATCCTTTAGTCAGTTATAACAGTGCTCTTTACTTCTGCTTCAAGAACTTAAGTCAGAATTCATGCACTTCATCTGTCTCCCTATTATTCTGTAATCTCCTCCTTCCACTGTTTTAATTGCAATTAAAGCTCCAGCCATCCAGTGCTGGCTCCACTCTTTGTTGGCTGCTGCCCCCAGTTGAAATTTCCCACGAATCAGCACAACTTCATAGGAAAGCAGTTCCCTGGCGGGGGCCATTGGCTCCCTTCCCCAGAGCCCTACGTTGTAATTTATAGCCATGAAAAGTCCCCCCCCCACCTGCAACACACATTTAATTCACAGGGCAACTATAATGGAGGTTTGCTGCCAGAGACAGATTAACCCTTCTCACAGAGTGCAACCTCCTACAGCAATTGAACTTCTAGCTGAGATGCATCCATCAGACCAGGGAGCAGATGGGGAAATGGACAACCACACACCCTGCAGTCTGCATCACCTCCCATCTATTGTCTTCGATGATTAGCAGTCTTTTGGCACAAAGAAAGCAAGCATCTGATAATGTAGCAAGCAAGGCTTTTCAAAAAAAATCTGGCCTTGATAGAATGGAAACTTGTGTAATGCAGGAAGAATTGACATTACCACTAGGTAACATCTGTCAGAATCCCGGAATCTCAATTTGAGAAGAGGGAATAAAACTCGGGTTCATAGGAAAGATCGAGCGTCCAGACCATCTAGGCTTTATTGTATTACTCAGGTTCCCTGCGGGTCTATACTCACCATAATGCATTACCAGGTAGGCAGAGTGAACTCTGCTGCAAAGCTTCAACACCATTGCAGGGTATTTTATCGGTACACAGGTACAGGGCAATTGATGACAGAATGCAGAGATTACAGTAAGATTCTGAGGTCATCACATACAGAACAGATAAAGGAATGTCAGTCAATCACACAGTAACAATGAGATTACAATATTTCTAATTGCCTGTATTGACACTTTAGTTCAGTAGCCTGAACCCATTTCCAGGTCTGCTTAGACATCTAAGTTCAAGCTACTGAAACTATGCATGAACTCAAGACTCTTATCTACTCTAGGCATTCTGAATTGGCCAGGGTACATGGAGCCTCTGGGCTATCAAAAGATGCTTCCTTGTAAACTGAATTCCAACAATGACTATTTACGATGCATATTTGGACTAAAATGGCCTGTCTACTATAGCTTACAGCTAAAGGTGAGAGAAAGGAGCAGGGGAATGCCATTTTAAACAGTGACAGCTTGGTTTTGAGAAGGAAGACAGGATTTGATCCCACAATGCAAAAAGCACAAAGAAGTAATGTTTTTCAGACAGGATTTATCCAAATTTTCCCAACACATCTAAGATGAACAGAAAAGCTACAGGGCAAGGAGCCTTTCCCTGTATATTCTTTGATCTATGCATCCTCAGAATGCATCTTAATTTTTTGTACACTCAGTCCTGGTTTAATTTATCCCTCCCCTCCCCATTTTGTTTATAAGCTTATGCTTTGTTATATAGACTTTAATTTTACTGCAGGTACAATGAAGCACTCTTCTTGGCGGTATTTCACTTCAGGTGCCTTATTTACAGCATCTCTTTGGGTTGCCCAGCATCTGTTGCTCATCTTTGTTCAAGGGTCCCCCAAACTGACCACATCAGGAATGGGGCCAGGTTGTTACTAGATTAAGCTGTGAAAATGAGAACAAAGTGCAGGCGCAGTCACTTGACAAGCCTGTAGCCCTGAAAGCAGGTGCTTATGACAGTGGAGGACAGGAGGCAGAGACCTTGATCTGTATCTTTTTTTACCCCATCAAGTACCCGCTGGGTGCTTACTCATCTACTAGGCACTAATAGCTCTTAATTGGCCATAAAGACCAAGCCATTGCCAAACACTTTGCATTACAATACTGCTGCTGGGAAAAGACATTCCTACCTTTCCCAGAAGCTGAAGATTGCAGCTAAGTTCAGTGCAAAGAAACTGTGGCATCTTTTGTGTTCACCAAGTACTTATGCCACACTCCCACCAACATTTCAAGCATCAGTGTCACATCCAGCAATACTGCAATGAATAATTTCTCTACCAATTGTTGCACAAACTTCTCTAGGGTTATATACACCTCCTGAACAGCTAAGAGACCAATAGAAGCACAGCTTGAGTTCCTATGTAGTACCCAGCAGCCAAGATGCAGGCCAAGAGCAATGTTTTATGTGTAGCGGGCTGGGAAATACAGACAACCGAATTGTCAGTTGCATTGTGGCTTTGAGTTTGCAAAAATCTAAGTAAGGCTTTCAAGGGCAGGACACCTTGGAGGGCACATTCAGTAGCAGGGCCTTCATAAGCCAGAGGTGGCTTCCCTGTACTTAGTAGTTTCATGGGTTAGTCTTGGGAAGCCTGCAAGCAATTGAATCAAGGAAAATGACTGCATAAAAACTGATCAGGAACTTGTCTCTATTTGTGGAAGTGAGGCATAGAAGACAAGGTATGAGAGGGAATTTGTTAGCAACTATTAATCCCTAGTTATTGAATGCAACTTTGCAGTTGTGTTGCCCCCCCACCCCTCCAGCAAAAAAAGGACCCACACAAACAAGGTGTGGTACCAAGCACCAGGTAGTATTCTGCTGAAAGGGACAGATATTAAACCCTTGAGCTACTTCGAAATGGCACTCAAGCTTCAAAGACCATTGTCTACAACTGCTTTTCATTGCCATATGAATTTTATTTGCATACAAAAGCCCAGATACAGCTAGGTATTCCATCTTTACTTGCCTCCCATGTACTACACTTTTCCTTTTCTGTAGGCGACAACTTGAGCGAGAAAGTCAGCGGAGACATGGTTCTTCCTGCTCTACCAATAACACTCAGCCCAATACAGACATCCCACAAGCTGCCTAGTTTTTGAACAGGCTGGTCCAGTAGAAGCTTCTCTAGAAGAGACAATTGCCACCATGTTTGTGCAAAAATGTGCACCAGCCCCCTCCAAGAGTCACTGCTTCTTGACCATTAGCAATGAATTTTAGTACCCCTTTTATATGTAGTAGAATCCTTGCAAGCTACAGATGGGTTCCATGAGAGGTAGGTAAGTACTGTTGAGAGCTCCAAACAGAGGCAGCATTTGTTTAGGCATCCACCTTGGCCTCCTCTTCCGGTTTTGGTAACTCTGCTGCAGGAGAACCAGCAGGAGCAAAGGGCCCAACGACCCAGTTGAGGGGAGTGTTCTTCGTCACATACTCCATGACCTCATGTACAGCTTCTTGCGCCTTGTCAATCTTCTCTGGGCTCTGGTTCAGGACGCCACCAGGAAGGTCTTGGATAGATTTGGTGCTGGAGAGGGCAACCTGCAACTCCTTCATGTCATCATGAGCTATCTGAACCTTTTCTTTGAGGGCATCAGGGAGGCCTTGCATGTTAGACAGGAGGTTCTTGCAGACAGCCTGCATCTGCTGCGCAACGTTCTGGGACACATTCAGAGCCTGGGATTCCATCTGTTATGGAGCAGAGGCTTTGTGAGATCACATTAAATGTTTATTGCACACTATCCTGAAAATATAACCAAAGGAAAGCGCTGGCCTTTTCAAAAGCTGTGTAATACCTGGGTAGATCCAGAGATGCCCAGCACAAGTGTTGCCTGTTTATGTACCGGGGAACACCGATTTCTCTCCCCTATCTAGGTTCACCTTTCCATGCTACCTGGCACGTCACTCCAGCTCTCTGGTGAAATCAAGGCACATTCCACCCATGTCATTTGTTCTTGTCTGAGGTCAGAGATCTGATCCAGTCCTTGGTGTTGGCTTTTCTTCACTGAGATGCTCACCCAGCCTTATTTAATATATATATCCCCCCCACACAACTCTTTAGGTAGTCTGCACCGGGCTATTTAGACATTGGCCAGTGTTGCATTTCGGCAGTGAAATCAAGGAACTGGTCTCATGCACAGCCAGACCACCAGTCCATCTACCTCGGTATTGCCTACATTGGAGAGTTACTGCCAAGGTAAACCTCAAAACTTTCATGTGTGAACAATGTACTCAACCACTAAGCCAAGGCCCTTTCCCGTTCTTTAGACCAGGCAGACAGAAGGTATTTGGACCGACTGTCAAAAGACCATATGTCCAATGGTCAGGAATGCTGGAAAGCCCAAAACACCTGGAGATCTATTTTTGTCCAGCCCAGGTCTAAGCAACTCCTCATTTCTTCTAATACTGCCAACATACCTCTGTCCGAGTCAGTTCACCAGTCTGGTTCTGTCCTGCTGGACCACGGTACCACTGCTTCCACATCCGCAACAGCATCTCCTGGCCATTATGAACTTTTGAATCCAGCCTCCCTTTGAGATACTTCATCTGGAAGAGCATTTTGGAAACAGCAATGCTTAATGCAAGAAGATGAGGCTCACAGGCTGTGCTGCCCTTGGCTCTGAAGCAGCACACTCACATCTGGTCACATCTATTCCATCCTTGGATACAGCCCCTCTTTGAACAGCTATCTACATAGGCCACTTCTGCCGGTTCCACTACACACTTCAGAACAGCAAAAGAACAGAACACAGGGCAATGCCTGGGTAGTCAAAAAAAGCACAATCCATGCATAGGAGGGGGGTGTTAGTAGGCATGGTGGAAAATTAAGTTTGCTGGAGTACAAAATAATTAGTTCACCTTCCCATGGAGAAGGTCCCTCCAACCCCAAACATTGCTCAGCAAGTTTGGGCAAGATCAGTGCACAAAGAATGCTGACTTTGAGGGAGGGGAGTGGAAAACTGGAGTAGGTGGACTAACAGAGTACCCTAATAAATACACTCTGAAGAGCATCCCATTGACCGCTTCCACATGCATATTGTGAATTGTCTTCCAAATGCTGATCACTTTAGATCAGGGCAAATGCTACCAAAGTAGAGAGCTGCAGGAACACATGTTCCCAGTTTCAGTTCAGTTAAGTATCTTGTTAGCAGTTAAACAAGTGATGAAAAGTTGAGTAATTCTTGGACACTTTTAGCTGTATGTTCCAAACAGACATGCTTTGAACTTTTAGCATTTCCAGCAATGAGTGCACAGAGGAACCAAGACAGTCAACAATGGCTACATTTAAGCAACTCTGTCATCAATGGAAGCAGCCAAGGATGCCCAGGAATTTTAGCTGTTGTGCTCTATACGGATCTCTAAAGTGATTCCATGGGAAGCATACTGGATTTGGGCTTGCACATCTCTGAAACATACTGAGGGTAGGATCATGGGTTTGTGTGAAAAATACATGCTATTATGCCAAGCTAACTCTTGTGATCCCAACAGTTCCTACAGAATACAGAACCCCTTTCACTGACCTTAGAATTGTCAGATGTGGCCTTTTGATTCTTACCAAAAACATGGTTTGTTCAAGGTGGAAGAGTATATCCTCAGCAGCTAGCTTGACTGTCCGCAGCTTTTCCAGGGAGTGCTGGTAGGCTCGGGAACGAAGCTTGGCCGAGAGGGAGCCCAGACGCACATAGTAGCTCTGTTCCTCTTGCTGCACTTGAAGGGGCGCGACCACGGCCTGCTCATCTAGTGCCACAGAGGCCGCAAGGGCAGCTGGAGAAGAGACCAAAGAAAGCCCTGCTCCTTTCCCTTTGAGCTACAGTCAAAGCAGCCATCACTGCTACCAAGAGGCCCATCCCTTTACTGAGCAGCTCCAAGGCTTTGGCTATGACAATAGAATGACACGCAACAAAACGGGGGGACCATCACCTTGCTCTGCAGCTCGGAGGTACCATGTAAACTTCCTGGCTTTGGCTGGCCCAGACTGTTCTTTCAAACTGCGTAACCAATTCTGAACCGTGGCAAGCTAAAAGGTTAGGTGAGGCGTTGACTCACATTGGTCACCCTGCCAACCTTCCCAAACCGAGTGTCTTGCAATTATGTTGGCTAAGGATTGTGGGAATTGAATCCAACATGTTGAGGGGGCATGAGACCAGAGGAGCCTGCCATAAGACATTCCAGAGCAACTTCCACATGGATTATTTGCAGTTTTAATGGGACTGCTACAGCTAGGCAGGCCTTGGATGTCACTAGTGACCTGAAACCAACTTCAACTGGCTTGCATTGGCTGGAACTCTTCCATTACTCCTCTGTTTGCCTGCCTGTTCTGCTGGGCCGCATTTTAAGCTGGTGCCCACATTGGCTGAGGCATGCTAGAATTTGGTACCCAACACTTCTAGAAGACACTGGCTGGGAAGGCAACTTTGGATTGTAGTCTGGAGATGGGAGCCCAAAGGGTTAATTGGGTTGGCTCGTCTTTTGTTAACATCTTCTGATGGCTCATGACAGTAAAAGTTGGGAATTTGAGTGATTCATTCTCAGGACTTATCGACCAGCCAGGTTTTAGGGCCTTTGCCTTGGAGGACTTGCCTTTCTGCAACTGGGATGAAGACTAGGTGGGAGATGCCAGGTGAGATGCTTGGCCATCCCCAGAATTACCCTATGCCCAGGAGGGAGTAATACAGGTGTTTGGAGTGAGTCTTGTCTCTGCCTGGGGACTTCGGGCCTGACAGACCCTGCTGGACCTTTATTCTTCAGACCCACGACTGAGGTGATGCAGGGCAGACTCGGTTTTGTTATTTTGTCAGGAGATATACTGAACAGTACATACTCTTATGAATCTGTGTTAGTATTTTACCTTAAAATCTTTTCTCTTCTTCCCTTTTAAATCTTACCCCTCTGCTCCCTTCCCTTTTATAAATAAACTTTTTCCCACCAATTTGCTATAATTATTCCTGGCCAATCAGTGCTAAGTCCAGTGCCCAGACTGGGGTAGACTGCTCAATCAGGAAAAGGGAATCCCTGGCTGGGGGTGATGAGGGGGCCATCTTTTCCAACTGCCTTCTTTTACACAGGTGTTCTGTCCACCTCATTTTGCAGTGCCCTTGAACTTGTGCATATAATTTGCTTCAAAAACTGGCTGGGCACTTACATATCAGCAGAGCACAGTCAAGAGTGATAAATATTCTTAGTCTATACATTCAGATGACAAATCAATTCCTCTGGAGAATTCTGAGGAAATCTGCAATGGTCTTACCCAGCTCTGTATCTGTTATGGGGAGATAGTTTTCTATGAGTTCATCTGATTTCTCTAGCATGTGGTCAACACCTTCAGCCACCATCTGTCCCATGCTTGTCTCCATCATGGTGTTCACTCCACTCATCACTGTAGTCCGGGCCATCTCCAAGCTTCCCTGGGCAGCCTCTTTGGCTACATCTACCATACTTGACATGGCATCCTTTGCTTCTGTGACTTTAGTATAAACAGGTCCTAAGGACTCTGAAACCAGGCCTTTGGCATCTGATACCACCTGGGGGAAAATAACCAAGGAAAGGAAAATTGAAGGCACCACATGAAAGTCAGATTGTGGAAAATCCACAAAATTAAGGTCCAGAGAACACCTCTTTCAGATTTCAAGTAGGTACGGAAGATCTCTAGTTCCTGGATGCTCATTTGGATTAAACCAGACTTCAACTTGGAACATCCAAATGTCTTGACCACCATTCCAAGCATCCCTTGGCCATTAGAGCCAACAGCTGGATTGGTACTCACTGCTGTAATATTTTCACCAGTGTGATGAGAAGGTAGATCAAAATCTGGGATCCAAACCCTCAAAAGATGCTGCCAATACAGGCAGAAGTCAGGGATGCTGAGAGTTGGAAGTCCAGAACAACTGGACACAGTTTCTGCCCACCTGTGTTTACATAAGGGGAAACATTTATCAGCAAGGTCTTCTAGCAGTTCCGGGTGGAGTTATGTGCAAACCTGCTGTCATGGCAATCCACCATGGTAGGATGATAGTTCAGCAACTTACCCATGATGAGCCTGGCAGATGATTTGTCTATGCCACACCCCAAAATCTCCAAGATTCCTCCCACACACCCCATTTAAAAGGACTGCAAATAAGACAGGCAACTTGTCAAACTTGCATTCTCTTTAAAATTACTAGGGGGTAAACTTTTACACTTTCCCAAGCCCTTGAAGGGTCAGGGAAAAGTGCAAAAGTAACTTCCTTATAGGGACTGTAGGGGGAAAAAGAAAACCTTGAGGAGCTTGCTGAAAAATCTTCCAAAATACTCCCTTCTCAGACCAAGATGCCTTGTGGCTTAGGTTTCTCTTGACAGATCTTCTGTAAGCTGTCAAAGGAAATGGGAAGAGGTGCTTTTCAAGTCTCACATGGACAACATATGGGGTAGGTACCTGCCACTTCTTGGTAGTGACCACTCCTCTGAACATTCCTCCAGCTGAGGCTTGAATTCCACCCATTTGCACTTAAGCCAACAAGCACTCATGCAAACAGGACTATTTTTTTAGGGAAAAAAAAGTTCTGAGGCCAATGGGAGGCCCCTCCAAGGTGCCTTTGTGGCATTTTGAAGAGGATGTTTATGGCCACCCAGACAGACTGGCTTATGTAATCTCCTCTCTGTTCTCTCCAAAAAGAGAAAAATTAGAAGTGAAAAGCAAGTTGCAGGAAGGCAGCCAGTATTGGTTATGGTTAGGACTTCCTCAAGAAAAGCAGCAATTGGTTTCTTACTGTTCTCGCTGCTGGCCACAGGCCTTTGTCTATGGTGCCATCAGTTATAAGTTTGGACAATGTGAGTAAAGAATTCAAGAAATGCCCATGTGGGCTGCTTGGAAAAAACCCACCATGGGTAAGCTGGGTTGGGTTTGCATGACACCACCACCAGTGGCTAGCCATCGTCAATGGTGGACTGCCACATCATGCCAACTAGGGCAATATAGCACCGATAGGTGGTTTGGAAGCAGAATGGAAAAGAACTATCCAAGGTCCAACAGAAATGGACACAAAGATATACACATTCTCTTAAGCATCAGTGAACTTCTAGTACCAGCTTTAAAATGTAGCTGTGTCAGGATGCAGTTGCTGCTATTCTCCAGGTGCAACCCCACAAAGCTGACTTAGTCCAGGTAAGACTATTGGTTCCTCCAGCTTTGGTACAGACCAGCAGCACAATGCCATTACCTTTTCCACAGTCTCCTGCAGCTTGTCAAGGCTCTTACAAGCAATGTTGTTGGCAGCAGCAACTGCAAATGAAGTGGGGAAGGAGCAGTTTAGTTCTGGCTAGTCATCTCATCATGGTCAACACTTGCACCTGGAGCTTAGCACAAGAGTTATTTGCATTTGGTTTATGCAGTTCCTCACTAAAAGTAGGACAGAGAAGTTTAGGAATGGAGTGTTCTCATTTACTATGTCACAAAGATTTGGCAATACACATTTCAGCCATGCAACATGCACACAGGTGACAGCTTGCCCCAGGGGCCACCACTGCATGTGCACATCACATGGACAAGGAAAGCGAGGTGCACACTACAAGTTAACCAGTTTATTCCAGGTAAATTGTTCTTCACTCTGGTTATAACCAGCAAGTATACAGGAAGAGCTTTATAAAGGTTGCAACTTCTGGTTCCTCCAGCTCAGTATGGTCTGCACCAGAGGTGGAGAAAGCTCTAGATGCTTTGGACCAACTTTCATCAGCCTTAGCCAGCCAGGTCAATGGTCAGAAATACTAAGACTTGTGCTCCAAACCATCTGGTGGTATACCAAGTTGGCCAACAGCTGGGAATCTCTTTCCATCCAAGGGCTAAGTTCCATTTTAGGAAAGTCCTTAAGCTTTGCTTATCACAGGAATGCAGCCCCCAAAAGGCATATTTACAGCATAAGATAAAAGCATTTCATCTTTTAGAATTGGTGCGGGGGGTGGGGAACCTGCACACAAGCAAGTAAACAACGAATGCCTGATGGTTGAGGGCAAGGAGGATGGGTAAACTTGGCAAACCTCAGAGGACTGGAATAAACACTAGGAGGGCTGGTTCGGGCCCTTTCCCCACAGTGGCTGTTTACACAATTTCCTTTCTGTTGTTTATGGTGTACACATTCACCCCTTTCATGGAAAGAAGCCTGGAAGTACTCTTGAGAAAATCTAGCAGACTATCTTCAAGAACTCAAGTTGCATCCCCTAGAGGAGAGGGAAGGAATATGGCAAAGACCACAATGCAAACTCTAGCATTAGGTTAGATTAGCTTGGTACCTTCCAGAAGTGTTGTATTACTTTACTTGAATTCCTCTGCCTGGAGAACAGTGAGCTGGGAGAAAGCTGCCCTAGGCAATGGCTTCTTGGCTCAAACTATGTAATTGGGGATGCAGGGAGAACTTTTATCCTGGCTTTGCAGTCAAGAAGCAAGATACTCAAACCAAATGCCGTTTCAACTGCCCATCTGTCTCTTGTGTTTCAGTTGGACTGTCTATCTTTGTTTTGAAGCCTGTAGGAGCACCCACTATCCCCATGCTGGCTTTAGTTTGAAAAGATCTGTAGTCCAAAATCATCTTAAGAGTCACAGGTTGGGAAAAGCCCATTGAAGTCTAAAGGACCAGGCTAGGAAGCAGCAAGAGCTTGGACCCACTCCTATGGGTGTGGATTTTATATGTACTTTGTCATGTTTACTTACTTTGAGGCTCAAATTTATCCAGAAGAGGCTGGGCACCACTCACTGCAGAAGTAGCAATAGACTTGACTCCCACCTCTGCCATATCACAGACAGCTTGGATTGCTGGATGGGACTCCTTGGCAGATGTGTAAGTTGAAGAAACCATCTCGTAGGTAGAGCTGACCAAGGGCAGCTCAGCTACCTTTTTGATGACACACTAGAAAAAAGTTAGAGCAGACTGAATCACCACTGCATTAAATCCTGGAGGTTCTAGACTAGTAATTTTTCCTAGCTCCCAGATAGAAGGCATTGCCAATAAGGCCAGAGTTCATTACTGGAGGTGGGGCTCATACCTGTCCTTAGTGTAACTTCCTTAATTAAGCCATATTTATAAACTGTGCTGACAATCTGATAAAGTACCCAGTGGGAGAAATTCCTTGAGAGGCAATGATCTAGGCTGAAATCCCCATACTCTGTCAATTACTCTAAAGATCAAGTTCCATTTTTAAAAATTAGTTAAGATTTATTGTGATTTTATGATTTAATATTTCTTGTAAGTTGCTTTGGGAAAATTTTATTCTTGAATGGGGACATATCAATAGTTGTAATAAAGAGTTACTGAATAACTCTACCAGTGTGGCAAACATCTCTGAATGAAACTGTTCCTTTTGTAGATGCTATTAATTTTTGGGCTGAGTTTCTCAAGAACAGAGGCATAGCAGCACTTCCCATTCTCTAACCCAAAGGTCCAGGAGCACCTCTGGCCACCTTTGAAGCTTAGCTACCTCCCAACAGGAAGGTTAGGCAATGCTCACGGCTCCTACATGTAATTTGGCTCAGAGTAATTAGTCTTAAAGAAACACCACTGACCACTTACCCAGTTCTCCTGTTCTGTGTCTTTGGGGCTTGTAACCTGTGTCTCTTCTTCAGTAGAAGACATGGTGAGGAGGATGAGCAGCAGCCACTAGTGGAGAAAATCAAGATAAATGCTGGTAATCACACCACTTACACAACCTGCAAGAACACACACTTAGCATCCTGATTGTAATCTTTGATTTTTTAAAAACTCCAAGGGCTGTTATGGCACCTTAAAGAGCACCAGCTAGATTCTAGCAACATTTGAGGACTAGGCATAGTCCACAAAAGATTAAAGACCAGTAGACTTAGTCTTGGGTAAAGTACCACAGCTGTTTACCGCAACAGCTGAATGCTGTCTCCCCACCAAGAGTTTGATTGTGTGCTCTGAAGATTATGGAGATCCATTCAGCAGGAGCCATCAGAAGCCCAAGTTATCTAGAACACAGCCTCAGCGGCATCTGTAAACAGGCCTCATTCTTTACTTCGAAGAAACAAAAGCTTTCCTAAATAGAGCCTTCCCACAACCTTGAAGCAACAGATTGTACTTAGTCCTTATGCAAAAATATTCATGGCCAAAAGATGGAACTGCAAATGAGCAAACGAACCACCCAAGAAAAACATTTGTTTATCTAAAAGCACTATCATTACTTTAAAAGAAAGGTAGTCATTGGTTCAGGCCTCTCTAGCAAGGCCAAACTGTCCTCCCCCCCCCCCCAGAATACGCGGAAGGGGGGTTGGAACAATCCCAAGGGCTGAAAGATAAGACTTCCCCGTGGGTTATTCTCGGGGGCTTTCACTCCCCATTGTCTTGTGAGCCTAGCAGCCCCCTCTCCCCCCAAAGTAAATTAGGCCGATATTATCTCGAGAGCAGGAGTCAGAGCAGAGAGAAGCTTGCTGAAGGCCACCAAGGGGCTGAACGCAAAGACTTTTGTCGACTCCCAGCTCACTCACGGCCACCCCGAGTAAAAATGGGACGCTTCTGGAAGCCTAAAACTACTGAGAACTAGCTCTCTACCCCAAAGTTATCTCCATTAACATATCTCATGCATCCCCTTCAGACCAAAAGCTCTCAACGCGATAAGAAGGGCTCTATTAAAAGTACTAGCAGGACCAAGATTTGCATGATGGTTTGAGTTACAAGCCTACTAACTTGAGTTAGTAGAATCGGAATACAAGCCTAGGGGCCACTTTATTTAGTAGCCCACCGCTCGTAATAGCCAGCCAAAGGTCTCTCCCTTACTTGTTGCCAACATCGGGTTTTCAGAGAAATGCGCCCTCTGAATATAAAGGCTTCACTCTACAAAGCTGTTAGATTTGCTCACCACTAAAACTTTATATCTTTGAACAGAAACATTCAAAGTTTAAAATGAAATCCATTTAAAGCGTCATTTTAAAAACCAGCGCCATACAACTTGGAAGCACATTTCAAGCTAAAACACACTAAAATTGCAAGCTATCATGAACTCAGCGCCTACTTACCTGAACAACCACTTCTACTGCCCAAGGACACGTGGAGTACAAAGGCGGCCGCTCCCTGCTTGGGGTCTTATATACCAGTGATGACGTCACGAAGAGGCAGGCCAGCCGTGATGGATCCCGCAAAAAGCAACCAGAAGCTTTTTTTAAAAAAAATACAAAAAGTGTTGGAGGAGGGGGAGAGAGTAGTAGGAGTTGTTCTGTGGAAAGCGCTCCTTTCTCAGAGTGAGGCCCGCTGAGCTCATCAGAGTCATGTGGCTGGTTGTTTCTGTTTTTTCTTCTTCTAATGATCAGGATTGGCATGGAGTGGCCAACCATCTTTGCAAATGGATCTTGGCTGTGTGTGTGTGTGACTGCGGCAACCCTCGATTGGTACACAACCCTGGTTAATCCAGAGCCAGGTAATAACTGACATTTGGGCATCGATCCTGATTGCTGTCTTTGTGAGATTTCATTTAACACAGATCATATCAGTGCTCATGACATTTTGTGGAGTTACATAAGCATAAGAGAGACCCCCCCCCCCAGCCATGGGGAGCTTGCAGTCTAATTCCACTTGCTGACTAGGGATGATGGGAGTATTGCCCAATACCTCTGGAGGGTGCCAGGTTTAGGAAGGCTGATCTAAATTTTGCCAACGGAGAGACAAAGGAGGACAAATTGAGAACATTATGATGTGGGAGGCAGAACATCTGATGGCACCCCTTCCTACAGAATAATGCAATATTGAACAGTTGCCCTGCCCTGTAATGTTGCCTCCATATAATATCGCGAGTCCTTTGTCTACACAGTCTATTGAGGTGCTTTATACGATTGCCCCACATTTATTGCCCAATTCTCCATGCACGATGACTAGCCAGCCCTTTGTACTGCTTTTGAATAGAGAAGTGCTTCATGGGAAAAGGTTCTGGACATCATAAGAGAGCCACAGTTTTACCCACAGGGCTCCAGTTCATGTATAAGCCACTTGACAGCAAAAATTCAGCAGGTGAAGCTTTCCTTCTTTGTGTGTAGAAAAGCAGCACCTGGTGAATCTCCACCTTTCATGAAACTGCTGCAGGCTCAGGTCTTAACAACAAAAAGGTGAGGATCCTGAGCTCCTAGTACCTATAGGAGGAGTGATTGATGCCCTGTGCTATAACTACCTGTGTTCTCCATTTCTGCCCAATGCAGGGTGATAAGCTACCACTGAGGGGCCCTGCACTTTTAAGAGTGGGCAGATGAGGAACTTTCAGCAGCTGCAGCTTGTGGGACCAGCTGCACCTACTGAAATTCCCTGTTTTACACAGATGAAAGGTGTGCTCAGAATATTTCTTCCTTTGTCCTGCTGTTTGTTATGGTGATCTGCTAAATAAAGAATAGTGAATGTTAAAAAGGGTGGCTGGGTGGGTGAATTTCCCCCTCTCTTCTGCTTATGATATGCCTTTGTTTGTATACTAGTAACTTTTGTTCTTATAGCTTTCTCTTCCAACCTGAGTTTCTTAGTTCTTGTTTTGTGCCTAGATGCATAAGGGAGACTATGAGGATGTTGGGTGTTTCTTGTTTATGTGAAATGCTTTGTCTTGTGCTTGGTGGTTTGACTTCTGTCCCTGGTTTCCAATTCTGATTTTCCCTTTCTGTCCTTTAGTGCTTCTGTGTATTCTGTTTGTGGGTTGTTTTGCATGTGGGTATTTTTAATGCAGCTGTGTAAATATCTACTCTTTGTACTACTTTTTACAGTTTTATTTATTTATTTACTTACTTTATTGCTTTGACTGCCAGACACAGATTACATAGCATGAGTTGTTAAACAAGGCCCAGCTGAATGAAGAGGTTTCTACCTGGGGCAGAAAAAAAAACCTGTAGAGATCTGACCAGGCAAGTTTTTCTGGGGTGGCTCTTCCATGTGTTTCTACAGGGGACCATGTTTTTCATATGGAAAACTAATTAATACAATCTCCAAGATATCAAGATGATCCATAAACTTATGGATAATAGGCTTTTTAGTTTAGAAAAGTACCTAAGGGTACAATCGTGTGGCCTGACATTGGGATGGGATGGGGGGAATAGGATAAGTCAGAATCCTGCCTCCAACCTTGGAAAACCACTAAGAGGTCAGACTGAGGACTTCAGCTGTGGAGGGATTGCCCTCTGTCATCACACCCAGCATGGTTCCTTCTGTGCCATCTTGACTCTGAAGATGCCTTTGGGACTGGCATGGGGAGGACAGGAATGAAGGACCTCTGAGAGATCGTGGTGGTGCCCCTGCTTCTCCTCCTCATGAGGAGAAGAACTGTTTTGGAGGGTGAGGGGAGCACAGGCAATCCTCAAATTCACATTCCTCCAACCTTCCATTGAATGCCTATATGTAGGACTCAGCTCTTATTTCACCTTCATTGATTATCACTATGTTCCCAAGCCTGTATGCAGAGCTTAACTTTGGTGGTCTGAAAGGTCTGGGGCCAAGATCTCTCAAGGGAACCTCCTTCCATAGAGCCCGGCTCATTTGCTCTGTTCTGCATACTGACAGTTCCTTCCCACCTGACATACCGTTGGGATATGACCAGGGCTTTTTTGACTGTGTGTGCTGCTGAAGTGAAGGATAGGAAGGGTCCCAGTGACCCACACTTCAGCAGGGTCCCACAGATAAGCTCCCCCCCCCCAGAACAGCTCTTCTTCATCATTGCAACCTCCTTGTCCATCTGCCCCAGATAACAGAGGGAGGCATGAGAAGGAGCCATAGATTTCGTTGCCTGCTTACTCAGTGGACCTTGGCCTGTTAGGTGAGCACAGGGTGGTAGCAGGAAAAACCAGAGAGAGCCTGCTGGGAGTGGACAATCGAAAGAGCATTTGTGGTTTATTCAGACATACGGGAAATATGTGCTGCGTGTGTGAAGGGGCTACCAAGATGGAGTCTGTACAGGATGCTTTTATAACCTATCAATTACAGGCACAGTTTGGAGGAGGGTGTGGGACTTCCTGAGCCCCTAAAGACTTTGGCAAAGTATAAAATGTGCAGCGTGGTGAGAACTGAAGACTCTATCGATCTCTCTCTGTGGGGGAAGATGTGAATGGGGTATGCATCCTCCAGGAACCTGGTTTTGCAGCTCAGAATCATTCACACCTTTGTTTACTCTCAACAGCTAGCTTTTGGATGGTCCTCAGGAAAAATTAAATGTACTTGGAGCCTTGGTAGCAGGCCTTCTGCAGGCATTCCCTGGCTGAGGTTTCAAATCTCCACAGTAGCTCACACAAACAGAGAGAATAAAGCTGAGTAACCATGGGTAGCCCTTCCAGCATCTCACTGGAGCACTTTGGAGAGACAATTCTTGGTTGACAAACTGGGTATTGCAAAAGCTGGCTTGACAGCTGATTTTTGTGATCTCCTGTGCAGAAGAAGCTTAAAGAGAGGTCCGCCTGGTGCCGTCGTTATTTGTTTTTCGGTGCCAGGCTAAGACCTTTTTATTTAAACAATATTTTAATAACTTTTAATATCATCTATAGGTTTTAATTTGTGGCCAGGGTGAATCTGGATTTTATTTGTATTATTTGTATTGTGTTTGTTTATTTTATGTAAGCCATCCAGAGGCTATGAGATGGGATGGCATACAAAAATTCTAAATAAAT